AGAAAACTCTGAGTCTGGCAGCATCGGTGGAGAAACAGAGTTAGCGTCGAGTCCAGCAACCCATCTCTGGAACCGTTCAGAAATTTCTGTTTCAGATTTCCAGCATTCGCCGTTTTTTTTTGTATTATTTTAGCCTATTCTGCACTTTGAGCTTGTTTGCCAAATAGTGGTTATGAGCAAAAACTAATTATGATACATCTCATATCACCCCACCAAAGAGATTAAACTCAGCATAACTGAGTAACTGCTCCTGAGGATGTTCTCTCCTGTAAGATCCAACATTAGGCAACTATGAGTAAATAATTTGGAATTTTACTGGACTCAGCCAAGGTATACAGCAACACACAGGTCACAATGTTGGTCACTTGTCCAATCCATTCTCATAACTGAAATGCCTTATTGCTGGAACCATCCTCATAAACTCTTCTGCAGTCTCTCCAATGTGTTCACATCCTTCCTCCTGAAGTGTGATGTCCAGAACACAATACTCCAGCTGAGGTCTAACCAATGTCCTACATAGGTTGAGAATAACCTCCCTGCTCTCGTCTCTCTATATCTCATAGAATAGAATCCCTACAGTGTGGAAACAGGCCCTTCGGCCCAACAAGTCCACACCAAACATGGATACCAGTGTCAAGTGGCCAACTCCAAAAGGTTGAGAACTGAACAAAGTCACATTTAACTAAAAAGTCAGTGAAAGCCTGCTATATAAATATTACCCAACAAACATTAAAGATTAAATTATTGATTGCAAATAAGCAGTCTCATTAACATATAAAGAGTTATCCTTGATCAAAGAGACTATTTGAAGAAACATAGCAACACGACTGATTACCCAATTTAAGCTCAAGATTATGCAGATGAATAGTAAAATAGGTAAATTGTAAAATGACCTTAAGGGTTCAAATATGAACCGTGAAAATGTTAATAAGTTATTTTGAACATTGTGAAATCAAACGGAATTTTACAGGAGGTAAGAGAAAAGAATAAGTTGCCAGGTCATTCTGTTGAAGTGGACAAGATGCATAATTCCAAACAGAAGCTGTTAGACCAACTTAACATGAAAACTGATTCCTCAGACCTGTGCCAGTTGGCTTGTTCGGTGTAGAGTCAAGAGACACAGGAATAACATGACTTGAGCCATCCATCATCATTCTTTTAATTATAAATACACAAGTATTTAGTGTGACCTGTCATGTCACCTGCTTATCATGAGGTGGAGAAATGTCCTTCCCCACTAAAGCCATCCAAGTTATACTGATGATGAACAGAATGTTGCACAACTGATCCTGCACATTATCTAAATGATTCCTGAAGTTACAGAGAGATCACTAGAATGCTGCAAGTTCTCCCACAGTCACACCATGCAGAAAGAGGCCATTCAGTCCATCAGGCCTGCACTGGCCCTCTGAGCATTTTGATTTGGTGTCAAACTCTGCCATTTCCCTGTTACCCTGCACATCATTTCTACTAAAAAGAACCATCTAATCCTCTCTTGAACGCTGCGTCCGTCACACTTTTAGGCAGGGCATTCCAAATCCTGACCACTCGCTGTCTGAAAATGTTTTTTTTAAAGCTTTTTTGATTTTTCTTTTATGAGCAGAAGCAGTTTCTCTTTATCCACTCTGAACAGACTCCTCATGATTTTGAGAACTTCAGTTAGATCTCCCATTACCCTTCTCCCCTCCAAAGAAACCAGTTCAAACTTGTCCAATCCATTCTCATAACTGAAATGCCTTATTGCTGGAACGATTCTCAAACTCTTCTGCAGTCTCTCCAACGTGTTCACATCCTTCCTCCTGACGTGTGATGTCCAGAACTACACAATACTCCAGCTGAGGTTTAACCAATGTCCTACATAGGTTGGGAATAACCTTCTCTGCTCTTGTCTCTCTATATCTCATAGAATAGAATCCCTACAGTGTGGAAACAGGCCCGTCAGCCCAACAAGTCCACACCGAACCTCAGAGCATCCCGTCCAGACCCATCCCCCTATAGCCCACCTAATCTACACCTCCCTGAACACTATGGGCAATTTTGCATGGCCAATCCACCTAACCCGCGTATCTTTGGACTGTGGGAGGAAACCAGAGCACCCGGAGGAAACCCACGCAGACACAGGGAGAATGTGCAAACTTCACACAGACAGTCACCCAAGGCTGGAATCGAACCCGGGTCCCTGGCGCTGTGAGGCAGCAGTGCTAACCACTGTGCCACCATGCCGCTGATCTGTGCGTGCAAATACAGTCATGGTCTGTTCCCATGGTGTACAGAAACCATAGTGTCTAGTCCACAATATGAATGCTCTGACTGCTGAAAGCAAGCGTACAAAATGCCTTCTTCACTACCCTGTCTACTGTGGTGCCACTATGTACCTGCACCCCTACATTTCGCTGTTTGACAGCACTCCGCAGTGCCCTACCATTAACTGTCTAAGTCCTGCCCTGGTGGACCACCTCGCAGTTATCTAAATTAAACCACATCTGCCATTCCTCAGCCCACTGGCCCAGTTGATCAAGATGCCGTTGTACTCTTAGATAACCTTCTTCACTGTCGACTCTACCACCAATTTTGGTGTCATTCACAAATTGTTTGTGTGTTGTGTGATTCTATGACATCAAGCTTTGAAAATTCTTGAGTCTTTAGTTCCTGAGGGAATAGTCATCACTTTGATGTATATTCAGGAACCAGACCTATGTTGCCAGATTTCTGCATGTGCGATGAGGCAATATTAGAACCACTAAGCAAACATTTCATGCTAAATGTGTCTAGTTTGGTCTTCATCTATCCCCAGCCAAGTCTCCACACAATGTGGGGTAGTTAGAACAATCACATTGTCATCTTTGTTTTAACATTGGACATGTTTAAAAGGCTCGACAACAATAAAGGCCACCTCCCATTCTCCTAAACACAATGCGTACAAGCCCATCTACTCAAATGCTCCTCATAAGACATTCCCTCCATACCCTGAATCAACCTACTGTTCAACTTTCCTTCATTTCTCCATCATCCTTCCACTGAGTTACTTTGTCCAGTTCCCTCAAGCCCACCAGTGTCATACAACCTTTTCCTTAGGTCCCAAAGCTGTGTAAACCTGAACTAGCTGACAGGAAATACAGTTTTAAAGCACTGGAGTGAGGTATCCTCCAAAATTTTCCCACTTGCTAACAAAGGGCTTACATGCACACTGTCCCAAACATAGAGTGACTGACAAAGACAGCCCAATATTTCAGTCAAAATACAACTGCGTCAGCGCATGCTGATGAGCCCAGCTAGCAGAGAAACGTAGGATGTAGGCAATTAATAAATGATTCCCTTGTGGATTTTAACAATGCACTGGCTTCATAAATTACTAATTTGGATTTAATTTTTAAGAAAGCATTAGATATCACCTTACTTGAAGCAGCCATACACACTCCCCATCAGCCATGCTGATAATAATCACTTACAACATGGGATAACAAGGTGTAGAGCTGGATGAACCCTTCTTCGGTCCAGACCCGAAACATCAGCATTCCTGCTCCTCTGATGCTGCTTGGCCTGCTGTGTTCATCCAGCTCTACACCTTGTTATCTCACACTCTCCAGCATCGGCAGTTCCTACTATCTCTGAATCCACTTATAACATGGACTGTGTTACCAAAGGAAATAAAATGTCATTGTGTTCTGCAATGATGCCCAAGTACACAATTAGATACATGGAAAAAAATCTCAAATCCCAAATTTCTCTCCTATCACATTTTAATAAAAATTAGAAATATGGTCCGTGTAGGTTAATACAGGGTATAAAGAAAATATCACCACAGAGCTTTATACCATTCTTGTGCAAGACAGTTTCAGCTCTTGGTTCTCGAACAGCATACAATCTGCAGCATTTCAACAGAAGAATCCTTTCAACAGACAAATCAAGAGCCACCATAATGAGTTTTGTAATTCCATTAATTGCCAAGTGCCACAAGCTTTCATTGTGAACATGATGAAATCATTGCCACTGAATAAAGAAACAAATACAACTGGTGATTTCACTCAGCACATCACTGTGTTTTAGACTCCATTCAGTTGCAAATGGACACTCTTGGAAATATTTGTAATTGAAAGAGACTGTTTTCAGTATTGATATCAACTTGCTGAGCTTAGTGTTAAGAGAATGGTAACACTATCAAAACAACCATTAAAATAATGTATCAACGCACAAACAGAACAAACAACACATCTTACTACAACATTCCCATTTAAACAATACGTATCAAACCACTGCACACTTAATAGAGAGTTCTGGTATTTTAAAAAGTTTTGCAAGGTTTGTTCATTTGATCACACTCGCATCCCTGGATTAAAAAGTAAACTCACGCCCCGTACCCAAGAAATAGTAACTTTAGGCCTGGCCTACCTGTTTGGATTGTTTAAATGAACACTAAAAGATAAAATGTACAGAAGAAGAGCGGGGAAATCCTGGGTCATATCAAAAATTCCCATTTCAATCAAAAATCATAATAAAACATTAGCTAGGCATTCAATTCATCAAGTAGCTTTAACTGCAAGCTGCTACTGAAGAATAATGTCAGTGAGTCAACAGCCTATCATTCTCACGGTCATCATTATTTGAAGTGATTGAGACACTTCATGATGAAGTGCCATATCGAATGTCAGCATCACTGCCTATGCATAAATTTGACTTTGCTTCAACAAGAGTGGTAGCGTGACTGGTAGTGCACTTATAAGGACTATGCATTTGATTATCACCACTAGCCAGCAAGAGTTTCTTGAGAGGCTTAAAGAAAGACTAGGTAGGCCAAGGTTCCAATAACACTGACAACTTGCACCAAGAATGAATGTCAAGTTAAGTTTGAAAGAAAAATCACTACGCTGGTGTGAATTCATATTTCAAAAAAGGCAAGTTCCTAACAAAAAAAAACCCACAAATCTGTAAATTTTAAGAAAGGAGGGGTATTAGAACCAAAAGATTCATCACATTGTGAAGGCATAAAATGGAATACTCACCAGCCTGGTATTAACTACAGGAAACAGCAATGCCAGTAACGCTCCATTCAACATGTGCATCTGCAGCCTGCCAAGACAATTCAACACAATAATTATTTTCTTTTACTGAGTAACAAAACCTGGTTCCAGTAAATTATTTGAATCAATCAGAACAGTGTAAATAGGTTTGGTACTGCTACATGGCGAATTTGTGATGCGCAAAGTTTACTACAGTGATATCTTAATTGCCTTCAGTACTGGAGTTCCTGTTCGAGCAGTATTAGGCTTGGCTTGATGCCTCCATCTCTTTCCTGTTAGAACTCTCTTGCTTGTTAAAAAAAAGGGTACGAATTTGCAAGGAAAAAAAAGAACATTCTGAATTCAGCTGTTACTCAGATTTGCACACAACCTCACCAAAATCAAAAAGGAGTTTAAAAAGGATCTTTGCCATTAGAAAGACCTTCTCAGTGATCGTTCTTTATTTTGGGACAGGGTTGGCTGCTGCTTTTTTGAAAGAAAAATATTTTGCCATTTATTCCTGCCAACATACAGAATGGGAATAAAGAATTGGATCAGACTGTGCCTGCCTTTGGGTGAAAATATGACTAGTCAAGGGCAACTAAAGGAAGGGCAATAAAAAGTGCTGGCCAGCCAGTGACGCCCACATCCCACAAGTGAATAAAATAAAATGATCAAGCATAAGTGATTGTGACCCAATACACCCCGAGAGTGGCATGAAACTTACTCCCAACTATTCAAAATGCCTATTTAAAGGGTATTTTGGTGCCTCAAATATGGAAATTAGGGCCAAATGCTTAATAAAAGCTCAGATTGAAATTCAACGATTGGCTGGGGATTGGCCCCATGCCCTTTTAACCTTTATAAGTTCTTCCTAGAAATCTACACATTTGACCACATTCTTTTGATTACAGATAACAAGTGAGCTAGAGCTGCCAATTGAAGAACATTTTCCCGAGGGCTCAACTGTTTCAACAGTCTAAGAAAAGTCTGGACTCTTCACCAAGAATGCAAAAGCAGTCTTTATTAAAAGCCCTATATCCAGGAGACTAAGAAAACACCCAAGCTCCGAGGAAAAGATTGCTTAATGACAGGTCTGGCTTTCTTAGTTCTGTTGCGAACTGCACAATGTTTATATACACACTGGAGGTTAGGAGGTTTCAAGAGCTTCAGAGATAGCAAGAACTGCAGATGCTGGAGACAGAGTTGATACAGTGTGGAGCTAGAGGAACACGGCAGGTCAGGTAGCAGAGGAGTATGGGTGTCAACGTTTCAGGCCTAGACCCTTCAACAGGACTGGGCTGGGGTGGGGTGGGGTTGCGGTGGTGGGGAAGGGAGCTGGGAAATGGATAGAGGGAAGAGGGGTGGGGCTGGGGGAAGGTAGGTGGGATTGTGATAGGTGGATGTTGGTAGGTGTAGTGGGGATTGATCAGTGGGAAGGGTGGGGCGGATAGATGAGGAAGGAGATGGACAGGTAGTCCATCCGTCTTTCAAAAGGGACTGCTCACTCCGCGACTCCCTTGTCCGCTCCACACTGCCCACCAACCCCACCACACCCGGCACCTTTCCATGCAACTGCAGGAGGTGCTATACCTGCCCCCTCACCTCCAACTGAGGCCCAAGACAAACTTTCCATATCCCACAGGGGTTCACCTATACATCCTCCAACCTGGTCTACTGGTATCCATTGCTCCCAAAGTGGCCTCCTCTAAATCGGTGAGACCAACTGTAGACTCGGTGACAGATTTGCAGAGTATCTGCGCTCTGTATGCTATAAATCAACAACACCTTCGAAGTGCTAACCGTTTTAACACCCCGTCCCACTCCCTTGTGACATGTCCATCCTGGGCCTCCTTCAGTGCCTAAATGATGTCACACACAAACTGGAGGAACAACACCTCATATTTCACCTCGGGAGTCTACAGCCTGATGGGCTAAACATAGAATTCATCAGCTTTAAAATCTCCCCACCCCAGCCTCATCCCATGTCCAAGCTACCTGTCCATCTCCTTTCCCACCTATTCGCCCCACCCTTCCCACTGATCAATCCCCACTAACCCTACCTGCATCCACCTATTGCCAGCCAACCTACCTTCCCCCATCCCCACCACTCCTCCCTCTATTTCCCAGCTGCCTTCCCCCTCCCCAGTCCTGACAAAGGGTCTAGGCCCAAAACATCGACTCTCCTACTCCTCTGATGCTGCCTTACCTGCTGCATTCCTCCAATGGTTTCAAGAGCTTGCACTTTCTTCTATTGATACTTTAAAAGGGACCTAGGTGATTGATTACTTTCAATAAAATTGTCAAAGGTCCATTCTTAAAGGTGGGGATGGATGGATAGATGGACAGGTGGATTATTGTTTTGAAATTTCTTTTTAATTCCATTCCCTACTATCACTCTCAGATTCATTTGTTTTATGCAGTGTGTGTCGGTTAAAGAGCATTAGAACATCATAGCTTGGCATAAGGGTTATGAGGGACTCAAGGGGAAAGAAGGAGGGGTCTAGCTTAGTAACAGGGGACAATAAAGGGGTCAAGTGTGTGTAGGTAGGTTTCCATAGTCTGGTACAGAGACCATGGCCAAGCATAGGGCATGAGGTGGTTTACATAAGTCATGGGGAAATCTGTGGTTGTTGAGAAATAGAATACTTTGTATCATTCATTATAACTGCAACGAGGTTCCATAGCACCAAGGTGGGCTTTTTAAAGCAGGCCCCCTCTACATCCAACAACCACGGTGGTTGCCTTAAACCTCCTACCCAGACCAATGACCTGACTGCAGCATACACCCGCACTTCCTAACAGGGACAAAAACAAAAACTTGCCTTTGTGCGCACATTCTCCTAAGGCAGATATGATTTCCCAATTTCTGATACCAACCTCTGAAAATTAAGGCCCTCATCCCACTGTTATTGAAAAAGACACGAAATTGTTGCATTAGAATAGTGGATGCAAATTAAACTCATTGCTGAAAGAGAGAGCAATGTAAAGTAACACAATGAACCTGTTCAAGGGCCATGTATACTTATTTAAAACAGGCTGGATGAGCTATCAGAGATCCCTCTAAAAAAAACGCAACATGTTAATTATAAAAAAAAATTTATTACAAGAGTTGGGTGGAAATAAAAGCTGCATTACAATAACTGGGGACTTGGAGTTTAAAATAGAGGCAGATGGATTTTGGTCAGTTGTGAGAGGGTAATTTTATTTTTAAAACAAAGGTCAGAAAATCATTTAGATTAGTGACCTAAATACAGAATTTCCAAGAAAGGCATGTGGCCCCAGTCAAGTGCTTGGCTGGACACTAGTGGTATTAATGGATGGAACGTTTATACCGCCAAAAATTTACAAACAGGCTACAGGTCATTAGTCTAGCTTTTGACTTCTGTTCAAAAGAATCAGAAATTTCGTTCAGAAGGGAGAACAATCTTCTCTAAACAGGAAAAAGAATACTTTCCTCACCTTAGCGGAGGTCATTTTAATTTGTAGACAGATTATAGAGAAGTCTTCAAGTTGTTAGAACTAGATAGTTCAGGTCATCAGAATTGTGAAAATAAATTTATGCAAGCAGTCTTGGAAAGAAATTGTAAAATAGTCTCCACGATCGAAAAGAAAGAAACTGGGAGGAGTCAATTAAGTACAAGAGAAATTAAGGAGTTGAGTTAGGATTGATATCTCTCTGGAACAAAGTATCCATAAAAAGGATAGTGTTGAAAATAAGTTGAAACTTTGTTTTACAGTTTGTGTTGAGCTCCGTCTCCATATAAAAAATAAAGTTGCCATAGCCCCAAAGGACGATAGAGCTGCTCCCTCATGTATAAAGTTTATTTCATAATAATTTTCTTTATTAAAAGAACATTTGCAGCCATGTGTATATACTTCAGTGATGACCCACCAGCTGCAAAAGTTACAGCACATGATCTATCAAGTCAGGTTTCATTCTGAGAACTGGTGTCCAGTATAACCATCAACTGGGATCATAACAAGTCAATCCTTCAGTCGTAACTGCTGGACATAAAAATAAAATTGTTTGAGAAATATTTTCTTCGCATATCTCTTTTTTGCCTCTCTTAAGCTTCCTATTTCTGTACTTGATTTGGCATCAAATACACCCACCCTAATTTACACTTCCTTCTCATTTACAAAGCTTCAGAGTTTCAAAATCCCTCAATTTGATTAAGGAGACATACAGGAAGCTTGCCCTGTACGCACAGGTCCCACTTGTCTGGTTTCATTCACTGACAACATTATCAGCTTGCACTTTCGACAACTGCCACATAAATTATCATTGAAACCAAACGTGCAACAGCAAGATCAGGATGGAGACTGTTACATCACCTGCCACTGTAAATTATGGCCCAGTAGGTCTTTGCACTGACTTCCAAGTGCTCCTTATTTGCTTTCCCTAAGAAATTACTACATCACAAATATGTCACTATTTCACAAAGGGCTTAAGTGAAGATCTGCTCAGCGGTACCTGAGCACAATTACTGCAAAATTGTTGCAAAGCATTTAAAATAACCAGCCTTAAAAGTGAAATGCCAAGTCAAACACAGCAGGAACACTTAACGTTCATAAGAGTGCGCAGTCACTGATCCATAGCAAATTTTTACGTTTGTTAAAAGGGTATGAAAATACTCCCAGGCATAATAACACTGGCTGCAGGAATTGCTTTTTCAGTTCTGCATTGGTTTACTATTTAGAGTCACTTTGTTACAAAGTATTGCTGATTGAAGGTCACGTTCGATTTACTAAGAGGCAACATTAAAATTAATTATGTTTTTATCGAAACAAAAACAAATCTGAATTATAAGAAAATAAACAGCTTCCAAATAACAATTCTGCATATGGTTATACAGTTCGGCTAATAATAGTCCAAGATAGCTTCTGATCTGATTGCAAATTTTTAAAGTTTAAGATTACAGAAGTGTTATTAGGCAATAGAGGTCAATTAACCAGGTCATCCATGGTTCTTACTGATCATCACCGTCAAAGTGAGGAGGAAGACAGAATGCTTCCAATAAGCCAAAAGACTCAGCAGCCCCTCTGAACTTTAAGATTCATTTGGACATTATAAAACACACACAAGACACAAACATGCAGGCAAACACAGAGCAGACAGGTCCCAATGCAGCCCAGAATCAATTATGAAAATAAACAGTAAACCATACACCATATCAAGCACAAAGAAAGAGTCAAGGACTTTCACATGTAAATAAAGAATGACTTGGTGACAGAATACCAGCCTCTCTGGAGATATTTCAATCGTAACTTCTGTTTCATACCATCAGCTATAATAAAAGAAAGTCTAACTCAAGTGTGCAAATTGATTAAAGAAATTTTGCCAATTATAGTTTATAAGATGTAGAAGTACATCCTATTGAATTTTATTAAAAATTGCTTCATGGGATGTGGGCATTGCTTGCTATGCCAGCATTTTTGCTCATCCCTAATTGTCCTTAAAGTGGATGCTGATGTATCTTCTTGAACCATGCTGGTCAATGGGACATGGGGGAGTGCTGTTAGGAAGTGACTTTGAACCATAACAGTGAAATAATAAGGTGGTAGTTCCAAACCAGGACAGTCCTATGGCTTGGTAGGAATTTGTAGGTGGTGGTGTTCATTGTATTTCTGAACTTGTAGAAGTCCCAGGGTTGGAAGCTGCTGTGAAATGAGGCTTGCTGAGTTACTGCAGTACATTCTGTAGTCTGCCACTGTACTTTGATGATGAAAGGAGTGAAAACTGAGGGTGGTGAATGGGATGCCAAATGAAACAGGATGCTTTGTCCTGGACGGCATCAAGCTTCTTCATTGTTGAAGCTGCACCTATCTGGGTAAGTGGACAGTATTGCATCACACTCCTGACTGGTACCTTGTAGATGGTGCTTTGGGAAGTTGGGAAGCAATTATTCACCAGAGAATTCCAAGCCTCAGACTTACATTTGGAACCACAATATTTATGGCTGGTCCAGTTCATTTTCTGGTCAGTAGTAACCCCCAAGATATTGATAGTAGTGGGGAAGTGAGGGACAGTAACACTACTGAATGTTAAAGGAGAAATCATTAGCTGATGGGGATGGTCATAGACAGGTTACTTGTGCGTGATGTTACTTGTTACTTGTCACTTGTCAGCCTGGGTTTGTACATTGCCCAGGTATTCTAATGCATGAACACTGACTGCCCCAATATCTGAGCAGTTGTAAATGATGAACATCAGTAAATATTGTCACCTCAAATCTTGCAATACCTGTAGCCTTTGCAGTATCTGGCAACATCAGCTGCTTCTTAATATCTCGCAGAGCAAATGAAATTGACTGAACACTGGCATCTCTAATGCTGGGGGCCTCAGGAGGCCAAGAGGGATCATCCATTTAATACTAGCTGGAGTTGGATAGAAAGACTTCAGCGTTTTGCAGTCATGAGCTAGGCACCATCCCTGGAGGAGGAGGTTCCACAAATATCATCATCCTCAGCGAATTCTTCAAATTATCCAGTTGGGAATGCTGGTGGACTGGCTTAGATCTGATCCATGGACTGTTGGACACTTAGCCATGTTATCATGTACAGCTTCCACTGCTCGCAATGCAAGTTGACCTGTTTTGTAGCTTTGCCAGGTTAACACCTCCTGGCATGGCATGACCTCCTGCACTCTTCATTGAACCAGGACTGATCTCCTAGATGAATGGTATTTGTAAACTGGGGGATATGCCAGGCCATGACGTTTTCAGATTGTGGCAGAATACAATTCTGCTGCTGCTGATGGCCCAGTGCCTCTTGGATGTCCAATTGGAGTTGTGAGATCTGTTTCAAGTTGATTCCATTTAACTCAGCGTGTGTGCCACACAGTAATGGAGGATAACCTCAATTTAATTTGATGTATTTATTTATTGTCATATATACTTAAGTACAGTGAAAAGCTTTGTTTACGAGCAGTACAGGCAGATCACAATAAGTGAGGTCGTACAGACCATAGGATGAAAGAGAAACTTAGACAGAAGCATACAGGTTACGTCGCAGGGTGTGCACTAGGCAAGATCACCATTAGCAAGATCAGCATTATTTGAAGCTAGAGAGTCCATTCGTTAGTGTAATAGCAGCTGGGAAGAAGCCATTCCTGAACCAGCTGGCATGTTCAGGCTTCTCTATCACCTGCCTGATGGAAGAGATTGTAGGAGAGCATTACCAGGATGTGATGTGTCTTTGATAATGTTGGTAGCCTTTTTGCGGCAATGAGCCATGTAAATAGATTCCATGGATGGAAGGTTGGCTTCCGTGATAGTCTGGGCTGTGGAAACAACCTTCTGTAGTTTTTTTACGGTCCTGGGCAGAGCAGTTGCCATACCAGGCTGCTATGTACCTGGACAGTATGCTTTCAATGGTGCATCTGTAGAAATTGCTGAGGGTCCTTGTGGACATGCCAAATTTCCTGAGCCACCTGAGGAAGAAGAGGTGTTGTTGTGCCTTCTTGACCATTGCATCTATGTGGCACATCCAGGACAGACTTCTGTATCACAAGGACGGGATGTTATCCACTCTAACTGATATTGTTATTGACAGATACATATGTGACAGTTAGGCTGGCAAGAACAAGATCAATTTTTTCTTTCTTATTGGTTCACTCACTGCTTGCAGCAGAACCAGGCTAGCAGTTATGTCCTTTAGGACTCACCAGTTCAGTCAGTAGTACTGCTACCAAGCAACTAGTGGAATGGACATTGATGTCCCCCTACCAAGAGTTCGTTTGAGCCCTCACTGTCCTCAGTGATTCCCCCAAAAGGCATTTAACATGAAAGAGCACAGAGTTGTCAAACAAGTGTGGGTGGGTTAGAGTAGGAAAAGAGTTGGTGGCTTCCTGATGCCAGGAGACATTATGGAGTTAGAGTCAATGTTAAGGATTCCCAGGGTAACTCCCTCTTGACTGTCCACTCTGTCACTATCTCTAGAGAGTCTGCCTTGATAGTGGGACAGCAACATTAACAGTTATACTCATGGAATCATACCTTGTAGACAATGTCAGGCTGTTGGACAGCAATTCAAGCTTTGGTGCAATTTTTCTTGTTAGTGAAGAAGACTTTACAGAATGGACAAGGGTGGATTTGCTGTTTGAGTCTCCCGTGCCTGTGTTGTTGCCTACCCAATTCCATTTCTTTCTTTAGATTTGGTAGTGGTTTGAAGCAACGGAGTATAATTTGCTGAGCCATCTCAGAAGGCAATTAAAAGTCAATCATATTGCGGTGGGTCTGGAGTCACACGTAGGCCAGACCAGGTGAGAATGGCAATGTTCCTTCCCTGAAGGGCATCAGTAAACCAGATATGTTTTTCTGACAGAATTGACAATGAAAACACAGTCATTTAATTTCAGATTTTATCCAAATCTAATATTAACTATCTGCGATGGTGGGATTCAAACCCATGTCCCCATGAACTTTGAATCCTCAGTAATGCACCAATTTTAAATACCCAACAACTTTCAGAGACTAAAACGCGTTTAATAAAAAAACGGAAAACACTGACTGGAAAATGGATACCATGTGGGCTAACTTTCATAAAACCAGCATGGATTATATGATAAACAGTCTGTGCTAACATTAGTAATTTCCCCAAGGGCACTGAAACCAGTCAGCCAGTCTCCTATTTGATTTTTTTTATCATTATGAACATGTTCCCTTTTTGGAGATGGAACATCACCTGCAATTATCAATCCTAGAAAATAGAACGTCAGCAGACACAATAGAAAAGTGAGCTGCCGTTTCAAGGAACATTTTTTTGGGCAGACTATCGGAGATGGGATTTAAGAATGAATAACTGAACAAAAGCAGTAAAATGTTTCTCCCTTTCAAGAAAATCACCCAATGGTTTTGGAAAGACACAATCTCATAACATAACTGCAATATTCACTACTCATGACAGGCCAAGAAACCAATGGAACAACCATGGTCTCAGGTTAAAACTCTATCTCAGAGACCCCAAAAGGACGTGTTTGTGTATCCAAATGATCGGAGAAAGGCTGTAAGTTTGACAATGTATCTCTATTGTATTACCTCAAGTTTAGCAGGTAAACAATATGTTCTTTCTTTAATAAAAGGAAATCTCATGAACGCTCCTTATTGTTAACAATAAAAATGATTTAACTCTATTTTCAAATTAAAGATGGATACAGCCTTGCACTAAAAAGAACATAAACAAAGTTATAATTAATTGAGAAGGTTTAAACCAGGGGAGTTGGTTCACCGGTCTACATAGTCATAATACAGGCAGTCGTGATTTCTCTCCACAGACGCTGCCAGACCTGCTGAGATTTTCTAAAATTTTCCGTTTTTGTAGGCAATTGTGAACATGGACTGAAATCATGAAATGATACAGCATTATTGTAATGATACAGCACAGAAGGCAGCTATTGGACTTTGCTATGTCTTTGATAGATGTTTGATAGAGCTGTTCAATTAGACCCCTTTTCCCATAAATACTTGAAGTTGATTTTGAAGAGTTATGTAATGCTGAACTTGTTTCCACTACCGTTTTGGGTTACACATTTCAGGATTAGGATTAGCATCTGCTGGGAATTGGGTTCTCACTCCTCCAAATCCATTGTTCATGGAAATTTTTCAAGCAAAGGTCAATGCTTACCGAGTCGGAGTTGGAGGTAGACTCAAACTGCATTGAGCCAGTTTAATGAGAAACCACACAACTGGGAGAGCCTTGCATACAATCCCTTAATTCAAAGCAATGGTTTCCTCCCAAAGCAAAAGGCAAAATGCTCCTAAAATACAAGATTCTTCCCAGTCCTTTTTCTTATTCATCATGAGTGAACATCATTTTTGCATAAAAACAGTGAGCTAAGAAAATGAAATGGTTCACCCTGCAAGATCTGAGGCTGCAGAGTTATGGCCTGGCAAACTGCCTTTTACAGTTTTTCAACATACAGGTTTAGGGTCCAGTTTGTTCAATAAGTATTCATAGCCAGTAACTAAAGTCATTTTCAACCAGTACACAGCTTAAAAACCAGTTCCACAACGGTCTGGTAGAAGTCCAGCAATTTAACAAGGCACATAATGCCAGGCCAGTTATACTCATAAATCACGTTTTACAGTAGCAGAGAACAGACGGCACAATTAAGAAGATGCGCTATGGGCATGAAATTGGTCTTGGGAATTAGTGCTGACTAGCCAAGAGACATGAGACATTGGCAGCCTATTTTATGTTCTACTTGATAAATATCCATGGCTTCAACTGATGGAGTTTGAAACAAAGTACAAATTTGTCTGCCACCTGTTTTACATTAATGTCCAGGATAAATTACATTCTTTCATAGAACCATACAACACTGAAGGTCCAGGGGGTCTTGTGGTGAAGTGGGTAGTGTCCCTGCCTCTGAGTAGGAAGGTCCAAGTTTAAATCCTACCTGCCACAGACATGTGTCATATCTGGCTATGTTAATTAAAAATATTTACACTGTTCACTTAGCTTTCCAAAGGTAAGGTGGGCTACCTAAATACATTCCACTCCCCTGTTCTTTCCCCACAATTTTCTCTCAGTCATACTTTCAGAGAGAAGTTTCAGACTCTTTAGGATTGACGTAACAGTCTAGACTCAATATTTAATACTAAACATCTGTACTTTTAAAAAGCACAGGAGAACTCAAGGTTAGTACCAAACAGGGCTTTTTTTTTTAAAACAAGAAGAAAACTAGACTTTAAAACAAGGAAGAAAATAAACATGCTCCCTCAAATTAATTTTTTTTTTAAATAGAAAAGCTGTTTTCAGGAATTTAAACTGGTAGCTTTAGGGAAATTTATCACAGCATTTTTCAAAGTTATTACATCTCTTAAAAGGCAAGTAGATCCAAAGTATTGAACTAATTGTAAAGCCTCTCTGTACAGTTTTGCAGCTCTCTAGAGCTTCATAGACATGGTTAAAAACAAATGAAAAACAAAATAAAACAGCAATAACAAAAGCTGACTGGAGTTGGGACAAACCAGCTCTAAGAAATGACATTCCCAAACCTGAAATTAAAAGGTGCAATAACAATTAAAAAGTGGTGTACTGCAAATGCTGGAAAGACCAAAGATGTGCAAGTTAGGTGAATTGGCCATGCTAAATTACCCACAGTGTTCAGGGATGCCTAGTTTAGGTGCATTAGCCATGGTGAATGCAGGGTTACCGGGATAGGGTAGGTGGGTGCATCTGGGTGGGATGCTCCTCAGAGGGTTGGTGTGGACTTTTTAGGCTGAATGGCCTGTTTCCACACTGTAGGGAATCTAAACAAAAAGACTCAGTTGGCACAATGAGTGCTGTGTTTCCCTACATTACAGCAATAACTTCATTTCAAAGAAAACTTAAATAGTCAGAAAGCATTTTATGACCACCTGAAGTTGTAAAATGTGGCACAAATATCAGCCATTCCTTCTATTGCTATTTTTCTTTTCTGCTTCTTGATCTGCATGCTTCTGCAATGGTGTTAGGAAGGCAATTCAAGATTCCTACCAACAACAATAAAAGATGGTGTGGTATTAGAAGCTTAATGTCTTTTCCGTGATATTGCTGCTATTGTTCAATGGGAGGCAGTGGTATAGTCACAGGACTAGTAATCCATAGGCACAGTCTAATGTTCCAGTGACAAGTTCAAATTCCTCGATGGCAAGTGGCGAAATGTGAATTCACATAGCCTACTGGTGACCATGGAACCACTGCCGGCCGTCATAAAAAAAATCCATCCTATCCTCTAATGTTCTTATCAAGTCTGGCCTCCTTGTGACTCCAGAACCACAACAATGTGTTAGATTCTTAACTGCCCTCTGGACAATAAATAATAGTCAATAAGGCCCAGTCAAAGATATCATTCCATAAATGGATAAAAAAAAAGTACTTAGCATTTTGTGCCTTCTACAATCCCAGTTAGAACTGGAAGTGCAGCTCCTCCTGTGGCTTAGCAAAATGGACGTCCACAAGCACAACAGAAAACAGCGAAAACTGAGGCAGAACTTTGGAAGACCACTGAAAACGGAGTATGGCAGACAGGACTAGAAGTTCCCACTGTCAGCCAGGCATCCCAGTTTGCTGGCATGGTCCCAGCTCTGGGAGATTTAGGTGGAAACTGGATTAGGAGGGAGGGAGGGGGAGGTGGGAAGAGAGAGAGAGAGAGAGAGAGAGAGAGATGGAGAGCGATAGAGAGAATGTAAAGAAAGGGAGAGAGAACAAAAAAGAAAGAAAGGGCAAGAAAAGAGGAAAAAAGAGAAAAAGAAAATA